GTTATTCTTGACAAATCAGTAGCTAAATTCTATTTAAGAGAAATGCCTTTGTAAGTAAAAAAAAAAAAAATTAAAATTTAAAAACTTTAATATAAAAGATCAAAATAAATAAGCATTGTTTCTTAGCACATAAATTTATCTTATCTGAATTCTTGGTTATTGTATCACCGCATAAAATTACTTCTTAGCCGATAATTTATGCTGTATTCTTAAGACATGGCTATGGCTAAGATTGTAGTGTTTGTGTATTGGTACTAAATTTGTACTAAGTGGGTCATACTGATTTATTTATTTTATTTTTGAAATTATAATTGTCTTTAGAAAGCAACCTGTTTTGTTTTTAAAGGATAAAATACGATTCCAGTGATGCAAGTTCTTTGATCTTAGAAAAACTTCATGTTTGCATTTCCAGTAATGAACTCTCAGGCTTATCTCACGATTAATATAAAAGCCAAGATGAACTTAGGTTTATCAATTTGTTTTGGATGTTTATTTGATTGCAGCATCACATTTGAAATCCAATTGTAAGCATCACTTCTAATCAAAGCACTTTCCGTAGGTGTGACAAATGCATCTTAACAAAATGAACCCATGTATTATTTGGTGAAATATTATTTTGCTTAGGAATTAACACTGTAATTTTGTTTCACAGTTTATCCATGTAATTTGAGTTCTTACATGTCTTGCAATTTCTTTCATCCGAGAGCAGGCTTTGAGTTTATTAGCTGGTTTCACGTCGTCTTGTTTATAGACCTATCACTATAGCTTCTACACACTTCTCAGATGATGCTCCCTTTCAAGTCTATACAAGTGCATTTGACATAAATGAAACTCTTAAGTTGCTGGGATTCTTTGTTTCTTTATTGTCAGCTTCCTATGAAATAGATGAGGACCACTGCTTTCCAGAGTTTGTTTTCACCCAGTGATAGGCAATTTAATTGGATTATTTTTTCATAGTGAAAAAAAATATCAACCCTCTTCACACATACAAAATATTTGCATACTTTTGAGTTTATCTGCTGTTTTACTAGAAATGATGACCCTTCTTATTAAGCAAAATGTCACCATCTTCCCTCTGAGTTCTATAACTCTGGCCTCTTCATGAACTTTATTATCTCCTGAATTTTATACTTCATCCTCTCCCTAAAAATAGAAACACATCAGTTTCTTTACAACCCTCCCTTCTAGAATATCATTCTCCTAATATGCTGTGGCCCTTTCCAGTTTCCTTTGTAAACATCTTTTCTACCTACCTGTTAAATGTTTGTGTGCTTTACTCTGACTTTCCTTCTATTCATTCTCCTTGAGTGGCATAGGAACCCAGATATCAGGAACATCTTTTTGTTGATGGTTCTCAGTCCTTTATCTCCAGCCTGTTCTGAAGCCCACAAATGGACAGACCATTGGACATCACATGGAAGTTCTACAAGCCATTAAGATCAGTGTACCAGAACTGGGTTCTTCCCATCATAGATTTGTTCCTCTTGTATTTTCCATCTCAGTAAATGATACAATTTGTATCCAAGCCTAGAAGTCATTCTCAATTTTTCCCTTTCCTAAACCACCAGTTCTGCATCTAATTGGCCTCTAAGGCATTGGATTCTACTGCCTTTATAACTACAGAACTGACTCATGGCCAGTACATTAGAATGGACCCTCATTGCTTCCTACTCCATTTTTAGCCTTTCCCTCACTATACCCCCACCATACCAACCTACTTGTCCTTCCTTAAGTACACACTACTCTTTTTTGTTTCTTTTCTATCATGCTTTTCTCCATTTCTCTACCTTCCTAACTCTTATTCATCCAGAAATATCAAAGTCAACTAATCAATCGACATATTCCAAAAATCTTTTGTTCACTTTGTTGATAGAAGAGGGGATTAGCCAAACACAACATCCGACACTGGTCAGATGACACTGGCTAGAGTTACTAGTCACATATACTCACAGCCCAGAGAAATAGGATCCTGGTCACCAAGCAGGATCATACAGTGGTTGCATTTCAGAATAGGATCAACCAAAAGGGTTGTGGGAGATTGACTTTGTAATACCAAGAGCAGGGCAAACCCTGGCTCTCACAGAGGGAATGTTTTTGGCTTGTTTGAAGAGTTTCACAGGCTGGCAGAGAGCTGAGACTTAGTAAATTGAGGGAGAGATATGGTACAGTCGGTCTAGCTGGGAGGGGGCCTTTCTGGCAAGACTAGAGGAACTCTTCTGAGGCTCAAGGACAGCAAATGGAATTTCAATAAAATGCCTGGAAAAATTCTTTCTTGACCACTCCTTATCAGAATTAGGCACCTTCCTTTCTGAAAATAGAATAAATCTGAATGCTTGGCACCCTGCAAAGACCCTGCAGAGAGTGATGAATTTCTTTTGGAAGATGGGTCTACATTCTCCTTCTTTTTCTCTCCACTATTACAATTTCTTATTATTCACCTGCTTCTCTGACTAGTGCAGCGTAAATTTTGTAAGGGCAGAGACATTTTGCTTTCCTATATCCATCTGTGTCTGACACATTGAAGGATTTTGCAAATGTTTATTGGATAAATTAATAAATAAGCACAGACTTGTGGAATGTAATAGCTTCTGCATGACAATGTTTTCAGAATATTTTGATTTTACAAAGGACTGAGGAATTTGTAAGTAGAGCCTAGCACTGTACCTGGTGGGCCCTGCAGGCCAAACAGTGCCCATTTTTTCCTGGAGGAGTGACAAAGGCAAATTGTGGAAAGGGGTGCATGATAGGAAAGCAACAGAACTCAGATTCTTGGAGCCACAGGATCAAGGAAAGTAGACTTGGTCATAATAGCCCTGGGTCCCTTAGAAATACTTGGGGAACATTTTTCAGGGAGCTGGATGCCCAGATCCAGACACTGGACTCACTGAAATAATTTGCATTATTACTATTGATGTGATCGCATTTGCCTCACTTACAGTCCCCAGGTGGTGAGGGCTGGGAAAAAGCAGATTGCACACTTGTCATATGTGACTAGAAAGGGGGAAATGTCAGTTTCTACAGAAGAGTTGGGTTAAACTCCCTTTCCTTTATTTTAATTTTACCCCTTCATTGACTTCAGCACCTTCCTACATTTGATCTTTCATTACTTCTTAGCTCTTTCTCGGCCTTAATCAGTGCTCATTCTACCAGGCCTACATTGGTCACTAGAAGATCTTAAACTACCTTAAATATCATCTGTATACAAAAGTCACTCAGTGAAACCTAACTCTCAATTAAATCTGCAATCAACTTCCACTTTCTAGCCTATTCTCACCACTCCACTTCACCTACCCAAGCTCTAGCCAGCTAAATGTGGAAGGTGCTGCTTAGCCTTTCCCTCTAATTTGTCCCTCAGACACAGAAATTTCCTGCCTTTATTTCTGCCCATCTGTGCTGTTAATCAATATTTATAACACTTTTTCTGGACATGTTAGGAAATTAATAATTTGATTAATTTTAATGTTACTGGTATATATGGCTGTGCACAATGTTTAAAGATGAGCAGGGCATTTTGCCCTCTAGGATATCAAGCAGTTACTAATCAGGAGGAGGGAATGTTTTCATCTTTTTTTGAGATTATTTTGCATATAAGAACTGGGGTACAGGCCACCAGTGTGAGGGTTCACCAGAGACAGAGAGGGGAGCAGGTCTACTGAAATATTCTGCTGAGGGGAGCAGCAGGTGGATCAGGAAGAGGTTTGCTGTGCCAAATGGGTCAGCTCCCTGGCTGCTGGGGATGAAACTCATGCTTCAGTGGCTGTGGATAGCTTCATAGTGCTGTGCTTTAACACCTTGCACCACCAGGGAGGCTTTTCATCTTTTGATGTAACTTTTTTCATGTTAGAACTTAAGCTTCTTGAGGCAAAGAATAAGACCTAGCAAGTGAGATCTGAGAAGGAGGTCTAGGAATAAGGCTAGTGAAGGCAGGAATTCAAATGTGAATGATGCGATCTAGTGGTGGGTTAACTTTTCCTACCTGTAAAATTTCTATCTTACATTTATATATTATGTATCCTATGATGCATCTTATAGATGATGTATGATTTATATGTGAATCATATATGTATATGTCTGCATAGGTATGATATAGACATATGTCTACATATGTACATATACCTATATAGTCAATTTGATGTATGATTGTATCATTAAAGGACAGAAATACATATACATGGTTGTACTTTAAACTGGAAATTTGACATTTGAATCAAATATGAAAAAAACTGATTTTATGTGCTATCAAAGCTCACTTCTGGGTACCTGCCATCTTGCTTCAAAGAAAACCTCACTTTGAATAATTAAGAGGAAAAAAATGGATTCTTTAAAAAATGAAAGTAAACTCAATTGTTAAGTCATTTATTCTCCTTTGTTCTTTTGTTTGGATGAAACAAGCATCTAACCCCCTTAACCTTACTTAATTTTTACCTTGGAAAGTTAACATCCTAACTCTTAAAACTTATATTCTAAAAGCAGAAAGTGCATAACATAGGTCAGTATTAATTTTTAAACTGTCATTTCAACTTAGTAGGGAAAAAGCAATTGATGTGCTTCAGTAATAACTTCCACTTGTTTTGAACTTGTTTTATTAAAGCTGCAATTCTATTTAATTGGCATGTAATTTAATTGCCACATAAGTTATTTAATTACATGCTATAAATGGAAAGTGTCAGTTATAGGCAATCATATGTCTTTTGTTAAAATCTGAAATGCTATATCTTTCTCAGTCTTGTGTTTGTATGTTATTCCTTCATGCTGATTATTTGCATCATGTGATTACTATATCACATATTAAACTGATGTTGCCACTGTTTATAATGGGGTGTGTACATTTTATATTTTTTGTTGTATTTCAATAACTAAATCATGGAGTCAAAAGTTAACCTACTGTATTAATGAAAACAAAGGCCCAAAAGATCCATGCTTCCTTTTCATGGAAAACTCTACATGTGCTATTTGCTCACCCAGTAATCCCTAACCCTCCATTCTCTGGTCTGTTCCAGCATATTACTTTTGAAGATTTCCTTTAAGTGTTACTTTTGGTTGGATGACTGTTCTGATGTCACTAACAGAGGAGATGTTTTTTCTCTACAAAGAGCAACCGAGTCAGATACATCTGAGCATAGTCTTTATCTTCCATCAGTGTGGCTTAGTAGAACTCAGGTTTTATGGTGGTAAATTAGGAGCAATTGTGACTTGCCTTCAGATTGTTCTGAAACTTATGCTAGACAAGTCTAATGCCTTTACGCAGTGCTTGACACATAGAAGGCCCATGAGAAATCTAGTTCTGTATGATTAAACACTCAATAAACTTGTTGAATGAAAGCCTTACATTTTTTCCATTTTTTTCTCAACTTTGTTGAGGTTTAATTGACTACAATTATCTATACACTCATCTTACACTGCTCTGCATATTTATCCAGGCTTTGGTCAGTGGGCTTTTATCTCATGAAGATAGAGAATAGCACCTTCAGCATATTAAGTGGTTGGTAAATTGTAAAAACCTATTCTTGTGAATTTGACAAAAAAAAAAAGAAAAAAACCTTCAAATAAACATCATTCATTTAACAAAGACTTGGTAAGCACCTGCTCAGCGTCAGACACTGGTGTACAGGCAGATCATACATGAATGGCAGTCTGGTTTTGTAGCAAATAAGACTTGTGAGTATGCATGGAATGTTGAATGATGATCAGAGCCACCCAGACAGACAAAGCAGAGTAAGGGACATGCAAGTGTGTGGGACAGTTGTGATTTTATGTGGTGTGGTCAGGGAAACCTCCCCGTGCAGGTGATATTTGAACAAGAGTGTCAGTCATGTATATATGTAGCCTGGGTGTAGAACTTTTCAAGCAGAGGAAGTAACATAGAGGGAAAGGAGCATATGTGATGTGTTTCAAGAAGACCAAGTAAATATCCAGACTGGGGTGGAATGAGGGATAAGGAGAGTGACAGATGACATCAATGAGGTAGCACGGAGCCCTGTAGATCAGTGGATGTATTTTGACTATTAATTTGTTAGATGGAAAGTATATCCGTTTTGGATTTGGATACAGAGATAAAACTGCTAGGTAAAGCAGAAAGTGGTTTCTAGGAAATATGTACTTGAACATTACTGGAAGGGAGAAGACCACAGTGGCTAGGCTAAGAGTCCAGGAATGACTCTCAAGGTCTTTCAAGGGAGTTTTCTATCTCAGCTCCTGTGGAGGGGAGTTAGAACTACCATAGCAGCAATCCAGGGAATAGCAAAGCACCAGAAGCACACATCCATTTCTTAACATTCAACAAGTTAGTGACCAGACTTCAGAATACTCATGTAAATAACCCAAGGTCGCCACAAAGCTGCTTGAATACAGTGGCAAGAAGGTGAGGCCTCCTAGCTTCTGTGATTCAGATATGCTTTGGGTGCCTGTAATTGAAGGAACTGCCCTTTACCACAAAACAGATTTCTAGTGTTTGCAATACATGGAAACATGAGGAGGAGGCACCAAAAGATGATGAGGCCCAATCAGTGACAATTCACTCACAATTGACCACTGGCAGCCACAGCTGGAAACCAGGGAAATGCATTGCCTCTGTAAATCTTGAGGAAATATACATGTGTGATCCTTTTCAAAACTGACATTTCTGTAAAACTTATAGTGAAATGTATATATGAATCAAAGCTTAATTTGAAATCATCTCTATGATGGTCACATATATAGAAAAATGTCAGATTTTTTAAAGTTTTCTTGCATTCACTGACATAAAAAGAAAAATTAATCAAGCTTTCATTTTGAGTTACATGTAACTCATGGCTACATGTAAAGTCTATCAAAGCTTGTGGGAAGTGAATTAAGGATTAAGGACCATCATTTTCTCGGGCGTGGCAGGACCAAAGCACTTTGCACACCTGGCAGTGTTGTTATTTACATGGAGGCCCATTATTTTATAAATCAGGCTGTGGTAAACAGTTTGATAAAGAAATGATGACTCTATAACCAAAGTTGGGTATTAGAAGAAACTCCGAGTTCCATTGTTTAATGCTTGAAATTTCTTTACATTCTTGCAAAATTCTCAAATTTGTATAAATGCCACCTGGTAACATTTAAATTAGTATCTGAAATTCATTTTGTAGGTATTAAGCAGATGATACAAAAACAGGCTTCAGGAAAACATACTTTTAATATTTTGATCAAGTATTTTTTTTAAAGATTTACTCTTGCAGAACTGGGGTACAAGCCAGAGGTGCAGGAGCAGTGAGAGGATTCACCAGAGATAAAGTGGG